CCTGTACTGCATTTTATACCGGTATTGTTCACAGATATTGCGCGGTCGTTGTGGCGTCTTTTATGTTGTTTAAGAGCTATAAATTTTGACGTTATTCTTTGAATGTAACACAACGACGTGGATGCTGTAACGCTTACACTATCACCTGCGGAGTGTATGTTCGTGATTTTGAGAAGTAACACCATTATAAAACTAACATAGAATTTTTTAAATAAAGTTGAGGAGGATTTGCGGAAATGAGTGCTTGCTTCTCCAGTAATCATTAAGGCACTTTGACTGGGAGAATAGGAAGATTCCAGATCAAGTTGACAACCATAGTTCGCTGAGGGTATGTTGCTGTTGTTCTCTTCTGAAGCGGATTTAGGGGCGAAGCTGACAAGAGTTATGTGAAGCGAGTGGGAAGATTTAGATTGTAAGGTGGGTAGAAAGCTCAAGAGATTGAGGTATTGAAGCTAATTTTAAGAAATAGAGCTGTTTGCAGTAGCTTGCATGTTGTAGTGGATAGGAGAAGAGAAGTTTAAGTGCAATAGAGGAGCTGAACTGTGCCTTGATTGTCATAATCTAGTTATTTTTCAAGTTTAGGCTTGGCTACATTGAACTTCAGTGCTTTTTAACCAAAGGCCTACGCAACAGCAGTTAACACTGCAGAAAGTGAATGTGTTGTGTAAACTTACGTTTACTAGCGGGTCACGTTTTCAGTTTCTAATGAGTTACAAAAACCGTGACATTTTTGGTCAGAAACCGTACAAGGTTGTAATTTAGGTTACTTTTGAAGAAGTTTTTTGCCGATACTTTTTCGGCAGAATGTCACTTCAACTGAAAATTTAGATCTGTGGATATTGCTGTAACGTTCGTGTTTATTCTTCAATGCTGTTGTTGAAATATATTTTGGTGTAATTTATTTTACCTTATAAATGATATTGACGATATTTTTTTGTAAAGAATGGTTGAGGGGAAAGCAGTTGTTTTTTCAAAATACTACTTCCATTAAATCGTTTGTTTTATACTGTAAAGAACGTTTTTTTCAGTTACGCTAATATGGGTAAATATGACTTAGCAGAAAACGACTTAGATGCAGCGCTTTCCATAAAAAGTGACCACTCCAACGCGAAAAATTACATGGTTGAAGTGTTAATTAAATCTGCTAATGAGTTAGTTGTTTCAAGTTAGGGTGCTTTTTGAACTTAATTCTTAATTTTACCGAATTAATTTTAGGTTATTGGAATTGAAAGAAACTGAGGAAGCAAAAAAAAAGTATGAAAAGATTTTACAGTTCAAGGATGACAGAAGAGCGTTGGAAGCTTTGAATAAAATCAAGAAGGCTGTTACGGATGAAGTGGTAATTATTCAGTTTTTTTATGCTCAACATATGTTACTTTAAAAGATAAAAGTCAAAATATTTCGTTTTTTTTGGACTGCCACTCCAAATGGCGCATAATAATTTTCTTGTTTATTACAAGAGACTCAGAATTTTTTTTACCTTATTGAGATAGTATTGAACTTTCCTTTCCACTTTTTAATTAGAACATCATTTCGGAGAGGGTGAAATCATTGAAGGTTTAGAGGAGTAAAATTAGTTACACTGAATTTTTGTTTCACTGGATCGAATACTGTACCTCGTTGTAGTTGTTAGATCAATTATTGTAATCAGAAGATCATATGCTGAGGATCGCATTTAAATCGCTCTGACTCTACCATTAAAGGAGTTTTCTCTACCTCAACTTCTGAGTTGCTCTTTTGTCTATAGCGCATATCGTCGTCTTTAGGTTCCTTGGTACTTTAATTGCAAGGTCGTTTTAGATTCTACAGCGACTCTTTGGCAGCTTCTTCTGCCTATTCTTTGTTTTATTGATGACTCATTTATCCTGTTTTATTATTTACTTACTTAGTGTCTCATTTTAAATACTGTGCCTTCGTATCTGATAAAGATATTGGTGAAAAGAGGCATGAAATGAGTAATTTTGATATCTTCAAAAACGGTACTTTCCCACTTATTGCTCAGCGGGGGGGTTATAGTTTATGAAGTCCAATATGTTCAAAAGCTCTCTTGAGATTGTGACGTACTAGTGTTGTATAATTCTTTACAGGGTCTGTTAACGATTAGACACAGAAAGGAGCGTTACTGAAGAACTTTTTAGTGAGTGGGAGTATAAAACGGTTTAAAAAATTATTTTTGAAGCGATTTCGAGTTTAAGGTGGTGTTGCGCCTTTTTGGGAAGTAGTCTGAGAGCCACGCTACAAACCGCGCTCAACGTAAATGGCTTCAGTGAGGTTAATACTTGGATAGACTCGTGTAAATTTGCAGCTTCTATACATGAGTGTCTTTTTCATGTTAGTATCTGTTAAAACCTTATAAGCAAACAGTGTGGTTAAGGCTTTCATTTATTAACTACAGTAATTGACTTTTCAATAGCCTTTTTCTTTTATTCGTTTTTCAGCTTAAACTTCCTGAGCTTTTTTGTTGTACTTCAGTTTTCTCGCCACCTTTATAATCGCAAACTGTATTAATAGTAATCATTGGGAGAAATCGGTTCTCTTTGACAGCTTATTGCGCTACAGACCGCTAGTCGTGAGCAGCGTAATTACTCTACATTTTTACTGCCCATTCATGTGCGAATCGGTAAAGTAGGCTTTCTGGTGTGAAAGAAAAGCACTTGGCTAAAACCAGATTGGCAGAGAAAAGTGTTGGAAATTCGGGGTTAATTAGTTCTTGTTACTCAACTGAGGTTCTAGAAATACTTTTAGTTGTTGTGCCTTATTATGTTCTAAGATCAGTCTATCATATGGCTGTATGGCTTACTTGGTTTTACAGACTGCCATTAATCAAATGGCTTATAGAGTTTGACGTTTTTCGAGAATGACGAAGTTTTTGATATATTTCTGACTTTTCATCTGCTTAGTTTATTCCGTTGAAGACGGTATTATTACATTTCTGTTTTTTCTTTTTCTTTTCATTTTTTGAAGGCAACAAGTAAGAGGCGGAGACTTAGTAACGAAGAGCAGAAGAAAAAGTCTAACGAAATGGTAAGGGATGAACAAAGAAGACGCAATGATGCGAAGAAGTTGGCTGAAATGGAGAAGTTTATTGCTCAGCTAAAGCAGCAAGCAGATGCTTAAAATATTTATTACTTTTATATAAATAAATGGGATTACTGCAGTTGACAAAACCTTGTCAAGCAAAGCATTATTCCTTTGGAAATAAACAGAGTGACCATTAGTTTTCAAAAGTACTTCACCTGAATCGGGAATTAAATATTATTGCAGTGAGTAAGAGGAATTTGAAGAAAAAACTATAAGACTGGGGGAGGAAGATAAAAGTACTTTATAACTTGCTAACTTAACCTTCGACAGTTTATTAGATGGCTTGGTACTGAAAAGTGTAAAAGAAATGACCAGAACTGGATGTTACAAAACAGTATAATGTGACAAAATTAAGCAGTTTGTATCTCCGTCGCATCTTTTATTTTTTAGCGAATATGTGAGGTATAACTTTGAGCTCTTCTTTTGCAGTCATTTGTATTGCTCAAAAACCGTTCTTGAGAAAACTCAAGCACCAAAAAGCATTTCTTTTTGTTCCAGTTTTTGCGACGAAAGTATCGTGCGAAATAAAAGAACTACCTACCTTCAATGTCGTACTCGCAGCAAAAAGTTAAAAAGTCATTTTACACATGATGTGGCGCAAACACAAAGTCCAGTTAGAGGAGAACTACATAAGCACCGAGTTTTTTTTTT